TGAGTTGACATAATTTACCCATTCTTGTCTTTGGAATGTTTCACAATAAACAGTGCGTGAGGGTCATCAGTAATCCTGATAAGTTGTGTTTTCGTGGTTTTACTGGTTCAGATGCCTCCATAATACAGATATAATATTCCACTGCATATGCGTATTGATTTGCCAATTTCCTCACTAACTCGTGAATTTGCTTTCACATTTGTTTCCCCTCAGGGGTATCCATTCTCACGCTGACACTCAAACTAAAGAATATCTCTCCCTTTGTATGAGTACATAATATCTTGCCGTAATATTCCATGTGTGACGTAAATATTGAACACTCCATGTTGGATACAATACATGTTCACATATTTTGTGAATTTTCGTAATAGCTGATTCAAATAATCTGATATATAAGATTGTAATTAAAGTTTGATACTTCTCAAGTATTAACATTGTCAGTAACGATGATATATGAGTAATATGTGTGTGAGATGAATGTGTGACCTGACTGACAACTTCATGCTAAACTGTTCTCATCATGCACTGTTTGTGTGGAATTCATGATTGAAATCAAAGAAATAATGGGTGTCCTATCTTCTGAGCTATGATGTTGATAGGTAATGACCATTAAAAACCTTGTTGAGTAATTGGGTAAAATACACTACAAAGACGAATGGGTCCCTTGCATGCAATGGGCTAACTCATATTCTTCCTTTACATCATCTAACTACACAATTCAACTTCAGTTCTTAAATACAACAGAACTACTTCTTACACTGGAAAAAGATATTTTATTAAGAAAGAGCACATTAATAACTTTGAAATAAATACACGTATATCAGTTTCATACTAAATAAACGGCCTCCAACCTCCCCTCACAGCCGTCCCTTTCCACTCTTCACATGAACTTAGGAAATGACCATTAAAAACCTTGTTGAGTAATTCAACAGTAAAATACACAACAAATACGTATATCATGAATGGGGCCTGTCAGCTGATGTTCAATGAGCACCATGCCATGGCCTACCCACATTCTTCCTTCACATCATCTAACCACACAATTCAACTTCAGTTCTTAAATACAACAGAACGACTTCTTACACTGGAAAAAATATTTTTTATTAAGAATAACGCATTAATAACTTTGAAATAAATACACGTATATCAGAACATACTAAATAAACGGCCTCCAACCTCCCCTCACAGCCGTCCCTTTCCACTCTTCACATGAACTTACAAAAACGTACAGTGACACATTTCCTTAGCATATCTTACATTACTTTAATAAAGTGTGAACGATTCAACATAATCTCTATGTTAAATTCCCGAAAATAGCTACCACTTGACTACCGTCTAAACTGTTATCACAAGCGAGTAGGAGAGCAGCGAGATGAACAGAAATATGGTTGATAGTACAAGACAGAAAAGAATAAGACTGCCAGTCCGACTGTGGAGAAAGGAACAGGATAGTGTCAGTTAGAAGCAGTAGCAGATAGGGAGTTAGTACGGTGCCAATGAGATGAACAGCTTTATAGCAGACAGTACAAGAGTAGAGAGAAGGGGAGAACACTGCATACGACAGTATAGGGAAAAGTAGAGTAGGAAAGTACAGAGTGGGACAGTGTTGAGTGGGATAGAGTAGGACAGTACAGAGTAGGGTAGAGTAGGACAGTACAGAGTAGGGTAGAGGAGGGTAGAGTAGGACAGTACAGAGAAGGCTAGAGTAAAACAGTGCAGAGAAGGGTAGGGTAGGGTAGGACAGTACAGAGTAGGGTAGAGTAGGACAGTGTAGGACAGGATAGAGTAGGACAGTACAGAGTAGGGTAGAGGAAGGTAGAGTAGGACAATACAGAGTAGGGTAGAGGAAGGTAGAGTAGGACAGTACAAGAGTAAAGAGAAGGGTACATGGGAGAACACACCATACGACAGAATAGGGAAAAGTAGAGTAGGAAAGTACAGAGTAGGACAGTACAGAGAAGGGTAGAGTAGGACAGTACAGAGTAGGGTAGAGTAGGACATTGCAGAGAAGGGTAGAGTAGGACAGTGCAGAGGAGGGTAGAGTAGGACAGTAGAGTAGGGTAGAGTAGGACAGTACAGAGTAGGGTAGAGTAGGACAGTACAGAGTAGGGTAGAGTAGGACAGTACAGAGTAGGGTAGAGTAGGACAGTACAGATGAGTATGAACTAGGGCAATACATTGTAGGGTAGAGTAGGACAGTACAGATTAGGGTAGAGTAGGACAGAAGGGAAGAGAGTATGACAGTACAGATTAGGATAGAGTAGGACAGCACAGAGTAGGGTAGAGGAGGACAGTACAGTGTGGAACAGTACAGAGTTGGATAGAGTAGGACAGTAGAGGAGGACAGTACCAAGTAGGGTATAGTAGAACAATATAGGGGAGGGTAGAGTAGGACAGTACAGAGTAGGGTAGAGTAGGACAGTACAGAGTATGGTAGAGTAGGACAGTACAGAGAAGGGTAGAGTAGGGCAGTACAGAGAAGAGTAGAGGAGGACAGTACAGAGGAGGGTAGAGTAGGGCAGTACAGGGTAGGGTAGAGTAGGACAGTGTTGAGAAGGGTAGAGTAGGGCAGAACAGGGTAGGGTAGAGTAGGACAGTACAGAGGAGGGTAGAGTAGGACAGTACAGAGGAGGGTAAAGTGGGACAATGCAGAGGTGGGTAGAGTAGGACAGTACAGAGGAGGGTAGAGTAGGGCAGTACAGAGAAGAGTAGAGTAGGACAGTACAGAGAAGGGTAGAGTAGGACAGCACAGAGGAGGGTAGAGTAGGACAGTACAGAGGAGGGTTGAGTAGGACAGTACAGAGGAGGGTAGAGTAGGACAGTAGAGTAGGGTAGAGTAGGACAGTACAGAGGAGGGTAAAGTAGGACAGTACAGAGAAGGGTAGAGTAGGACAGTACAGAGGAGGGTAGAGTAGGGCAGTACAGAATAAGATTGAGTAGGACAGTACAGAGGAGGGTGCAGGAGGACAGTACACAGGAGGGTAGAGAAGGACAGTACAGAGAAGGGTAGAGTAGGGCAGAACAGGGTAGGGTAGAGTAGGACAGTACAGAGGAGGGTAGAGTAGGACAGTACAGAGGAGGGTAAAGTGGGACAATGCAGAGGAGGGTAGAGTAGGACAGTACAGAGGAGGGTAGAGTAGGACAGTACAGAGAAGACTAGAATAGGGCAGTACAGAGAAGAGTAGAGTAGGACAGTACAGAGGAGGGTAGAGTAGGACAGTTCAGAGGAGGGTAGAGTAGGACAGTACAGAGGAGGGTAGAGTAGGACAGTAGAGTAGGGTAGAGTAGGACAGTACAAAGGCAGGTAGAGTAGGACAGTACAGAGAAGAGTAGAGTAGGACAGTACAGAGGAGGGTAGAGTAGGACAGTTCAGAGGAGGGTAGAGTAGGACAGTACAGAGGAGGGTAGAGTAGGACAGTAGAGTAGGGTAGAGTAGGACAGTACAGAATAAGATTGAGTAGGACAGCACAGAGGAGGGTGAAGTAGGACAGTACAGAGGAGGGTGAAGTAGGACAGTACAGAGGAGGGTAGAGTAGGACAGTACAGAGAAGGGTAGAGCAGGACAGTACAGAGGAGGGTAGAGTAGGACAGTACAGAGAGGGTAGAGTAGGACAGTACAGAGGAGGGTAGAGTAGGACAGTAGAGTAGGGTAAAGTAGGACAGTACAGAGAAGAGTAGAGTAGGACAATACAGAGGAGGGTAGAGTAGGACAGTACAGAGGCAGGTAGAGTAGGACAGTACAGAGGAGGGTGAACTATGGCAATACATACTAGGGTAGAGTAGGACAGTACAGATTATGGTAGAGTAGGGCAGTAGGGAAAAGAGTAGAACAGTACAGATTAGGGTAGGGTTGGATAGTACAGTGTGGAACAGTACAGAGTTGGATAGAGTAGGATAATAGAGGAGGACAGTTCAGAGTAGGGTATAGTAGAATAATATAGGGGAGGGTAGAGTAGGACAGTACAGAGGAGGGTAGAGTAGGACAGTACAGAGTAGGGTAGAGTAGGACAGTACAGACGAGTATGAACTAGGGCAATACATTGTAGGGTAGAGTAGGACAGTACAGATTAGGGTAGAGTAGGACAGTAGGGAAGAGAGTATGACAGTACAGATTAGGATAGATTACGAAAGCACAGAGTAGGGTAGAGGAGGACAGTACAGTGTGGAACAGTACAGAGTTGGATAGAGTAGGACAGTAGAGGAGGACAGTACAGAGTAGGGTATAGTAGAACAATATAGGGGAGGGTAGAGTAGGACAGTACAGAGGAGGGTAGAGTAGGACAGTACAGAGTAGGACAGTACAGAGTAGGGTAGAGTAGGACAGTACAGAGTAGGGTAGAGTAGGACAGTACAGAGTAGGGAAGAGTAGGACAGTACATGGGGTAGAGTAGGACAGTACAGAGTAGGGGAGAGTAGGACAGTGCAGAGGAGGGTAGAGTAGGACAGTACAGAGTAGGGTAGAGAAGGACAGTACAGAGAAGGGTAGAGTAGGTCAGCGCAGAGTAGGGTAGAGTAAGGCAGTACAGAGTAGGGTAGATTAGGACAGTAGGGAAGAGAGTAGGACAGTAAAGATTAGGGTAGAGTAGGACAGCACAGAGTAGGGTAGAGGACAGTATAGAGTATGGTAGAATAGGACAGTACAGTGTGGAACAGTACAGAGTAGGGTATAGTAGAACAATGTATGGGAGGGTAGAGTAGGACAGTAGAGAATGGGGTGGAGTAGGACAGTACAGAGGAGAGTAGGACAGTACAGACAAGGCTTATTATGATAGTACAGAGTTCAGCTGGCAAGGGTGATGAGGGTACAATGTAGAAGAAAGTAATGTAGGACAGTACAGAAGAGAGTAAAGTAGGACAATGCAGAGTATAGTACAGTGTTACAGAGAGGAGAACAGAGCACAGAAAATTTAGATTACATAAGAGAAGGGTACTTTAGGACATATACATATACTAGAAATATAAGTACAGGGGGGTGGGGGGGGGGGGGGTGGGGGGGGGTGGGGTGGTGGTGGTGGTAGAGTACCATAGGCATGGAAATAGGAGTTTTGGTAGATTGTAGATTGGGCAGAAAACCCATAAGGGGTTTAGATAAAACAGTCAGTAGCAGATGGTCAGAATATGAGTTGACTGTCTTGAAGTTGAAATGCAGACAAGGAAGAATAAGAGAATGAACACCATGTACGAACATTAACCTAAATACGACACACTATTCTATACCTACCTGTCCCCTGCACCTTACAGTGTTTAGAAGAAGTCCCTGGTGCCAGATAAGAGACTGGAGCTGTACTCAGCCAGGAGAGCTTCCAGGTCCTCCAGAGTGTCCTGGGGCTCCTCCAGCCTTGCCTGCTTCTCAGCTTGGGACACCTCGCTGTTGTCATCTGGGCACTTCCTCTTGCATGAGGGCAGGGACTCCTTACTGGGCTCAGCAGTGGGTTTCTTCTTTTTCCTTAAAATCAGTTTAGTAAGATACAGATATTCCACATCATATTCATCATCAGAGTTAGGCTCAGCTCTGTCCACTGCCTTGTCAGGATTTACACTTACTGTTGCAGCAGTGACACCACCTGACTTAGGACTCTCCGATGCTGAAACAATCTTATCCTTTACATTCTTAACAGGGACAGGGAAGGTCTTGCAACCTGTACTGGGCAAGACTGACTTTGGCTTTATGTAAGCACGATTAGCAGACAACAACTGTTCTCCAAAACTAAGCTTAGATGAGGTCTTAATGATACCATGACTACCAGAGGGCTTAGTGATACGGTTCCCAAGGGGTTTGCTCTGGGTTTTTATGTGCTGGGCTCCAAGAGGCTGAGGCACAAAGAAGGGCTTGCTCTCAGGCTGATGCTTGCCCACTTTCTCCTTGGGAATGTGAGGCTTTGGCTGAGGTTTTGGCCTGAAAGTGCGGGGCTTGCGTTTGCAGGGCTTGAGCTCAGGTTTTTGCTTTAGTTGGATAGGGATTACGGAATTGGGTTTGGGGCTGCTTGTTGAAGGTATGGCTGGAGTTTCAACATGGGCAGACTGGGAATCAGGAACTGGACTGGGTTGGTCAAGTTGGGGCAGAACACAGGAGAAGGCCTGATGGGGAATACAATCAAGGCATCATTTTGATTTTTTATGATCAAGTAAGAATATCATTCTGTTTGTATTACATTCTTATAAATGTATAAGCGTGAATAAAATGGTACATGTATGAGCATCAATGTAATATACCTCTGGTCTCATCAGCTCCAGGTCCATCTCTGAAGTGGGCAGGCTGACAGGCAGCTGGCAGACAGGCATCATCTCCCTATGTCTACTGTAAGGTGGTGCCTGGACTGCAGAGGGCAGGGGGATACCAGTCACAGATGGCTGAACTCCAGGCTGCAGGAGTCTTGGCTGTAGGTAACCAGGACCCAGGGAGAGGTTAACAGGATTACCAGCTGGTATCCAGATAGTGTTGTTGTCTACCAGACATCTGGTCCCATCTCCCATCACCACTGTCGGCAGCCCGAGCGGCAAACGAGGCACATGCACTGTATTGATGAATATTTGTTGAAATATTTAATAAAATAAATAATGGCATTATGTTATACTACTGTTTGATAATCTGTGTTCCAGCAACAGAAAATTAACGAGACTGAAATGCAATAAGTAGGCTAGAATGTTTGGGGAATGTTTTTGCATCAAATTTAGGCCTAATGCACGGCCATAATGAAGTTTTATAGTAGCTGGATGGGTACAAGTAAACACTTGCGTAAAGTTAGATAGCCAATTCCCGATCTAGATCAAATTCAGTTATAGCAAATTCGGTTATAGCTTGCCTATTACAATGATAAAATAAATCACTTTTGTGTCTCTCAAAGGTAGGAAAGATATGAGACAATGGTCACTCTTGCAATACAAATACCTACTCATATAGCACATCATGACTGATTAAAAACATACTTATCACATACCTCCTGTACTGGGATTCATGATTTTATACACCTCTTCAAACAGCAAAAACTCTCCAAGTCGTAAACGATACGCAAAACTTGCAATATACTCCAGTGCAATCTGTCAAAATGGCTGACACACAGGAAGGAGGAAAGCGTTGTCATGACGCCACAGGTACCGTTAACACTGCGCATGTGTGGAATTCCGACATCACTTGACTTCCGTCTGTCTTAGGCCTTGGGAGAAAGTTGTTTTGTGTTGGCGTTGTTTCGAAGACTTGGCTCGAAAGGACGCCTTAATTACAGATGCATATGGTTTATGTCAAGGTCAGTTCTAAGGGTTGCTACTCATACACGCAACAACTAGTTGGAGTTACCCTCCCATGATAAGAATTTTACTGCTGCTTCTGCCACTTCCTAATTCACATTCTCAGAATAATTCATCGATACTTTATGGGATTGCCTACAAGTCAAGTCAGGCCGGACCAGGCCATCGTTCTAACTCCATCATCGATGACCAAACGTGTATGTTATTGATGTAATGTACACATGTGACATTAACAAGCAACCACATACCACAAATGTGAAACATGTGGGAATTAAGTTATTACGAGAGGAGTAGTTACGGATTTGAAACGTATCAAATACGTGCAACTATCGTGATACAAATTTCCATTTGTCCGACATAACTTTATCTAACTATATTCAGACAAATAATTCAAAGATAAAATTGCATAACATACGGCTTTAAGTGCATGCAATCAATTTAAACAAAACAGATGTATGGTGAAATACGATATATGAAACAGTATTTAAAATACCCATCTGCTGCTTAAAAAGACCGCTGTTAATCGTTTTCAAAACGAACACGTTCGTTAAAGTAAAGCCATTTTCCTTACACACTCTCAACAAAATCACTATTAGACGATGCATTGCCTGTGTTCGGTCCGACTTGGACCACTGGCCACAAGCATCTAAAACATCACAGATTGTTCATGGAAAGTGTCAAGATATAAAGTCGAACCTCGTTGTCTCGAACTTGGATGTGTCAAATTCCCGGTTGGCTCGAAATCATTTGGTAGTCCCAAGTATCCAAATTAAGCATAACAATCCTCTGATGTCTCGAACCTCGGATAACTCGAACTTTTGCCTTTGTTCCCATGAGTTCGACACAACGAGGTTCGACTGTATAGAAGACATTTATATTTACCTAAATACCACAGGATGACATCCCAGACCTTGGTCAAAGTGAATTGGTCAAACATTGGTTTAAAGCCACTGTATGACATCACAGACCTTGGTCAAAGTGAAATGGTCAAAGATTGGTTTAAAGCGACTGTATGACATCCCAGACCTTGGTCAAAGTGAATTGGTCAAACATTGGTTTCAAGCCTTTTTTTCTTCTTCGCTCTCAATATAGTCTCTATCAGAAGTCTTTGGTCTTTATTTACTTGGCCTGGGCGATCAAAATCAACTTATATGTCCCCAATATACCATCAAGTGTGTTTGGATATACACAATAGTATCATATCTACTTAAATACACCTTTATGAGGTCATACTTTCTTGTATTTTAAGCAAGCATGTTGGTTAACGTAAGCCCTCTACACCCTCAACATATTCTCTATATCATGTCGGAAGTGTGTGATCGGTCCGACTTGGACCGGGCGGTTAAAATCATCTTAAAATTCACAGATATATCATGGAAAGTGTACCGATATTAAGAAGATTAAAACATCTAGGTCAGATACCACTTTTATATTGTCCCGCATTTAGATAGATATAATAATATCCTATATCGTAATGCGTTCAATGATGCATCTGTGATGATATTTCTTGTAGAAGCTATGTTGAGAGTATGGAGGGAGCAGGGCTTGACAACATGTTTGCTTTAAACACCACGATCTGTGACATTATGGAGTCCAATAAAGATGTAATACTATTACACATATCCAGACACTTTCCATGATACATATGTGATGTGTTTTAGTTTTTTTTAACCGCTCGGGCCAAGTCGAACTGAACAAGGACCTAACACTTCTTACTAACTGAGAATAGAAGGACCCAGCTAAATAGTAAACTTTTATTTTCTGCATAACCTCCCTTTATAATCTTGTAATCCTCAATACATGTATTTTTAGTCATTTTATGTTGAACTGTTATTTATGTATTCAGTTAATTCACACTTTTCCATATTCACGACGAGGCTACAGTATCGGCCAGAATCCACCGTCAGGATATAGCCGGAAGATTTCATTTACTTACTTACTCGCCTCAGACTATATGATGGCGCCTCCAGCTTAATTGCTGATAAACGCAGTGTCCAAGTTTGTGTTCTAGATGGGACACAGGACCACTACTCGAGCACTGCATTGCGATTTTGCATGGCGGTACGAGTGACCAAGGGATGTTTGGTGACTGTTTGGGGCCCGACCATCGTGGGTTCGAATCTTAAACTCGCCTTTGATTTGACTCTTGTTCTGTCAGCGATATTCCCGTGCTCGTGGGTTCCACCAAAATGGTAAATGTCTACGACCTACATCACTTGGAATTTCTCCCACATTGTGCTTGCTGATATGACTTAAATGCTGTTCAAAGCAGCGTAAAACCACTAATTCACTCATTGGCATAACTGGAATACTGTTCAAGGCGGAGTCAATCCCAACTCAGTCACTCCGTTACGCATCCTCGAATATAAGCTCAGTAAAGGGGGGGAAATCATGCTTGTCATTTCTGTACGATCTTAATCAAATCCAGCATTCAGCAGTACTACCAATCATGGATTGAATTTGGGTCATGGATTTATCTAGACCTGCTCAAAGGCCGATATCCGGCTCCAAGGCTGCAGAAAACGTCAGTAAAATTTCCAAATTCATATTAATATAGTTATTACTAGTGTTATGGTTTTGTAGAGGTAACTTGTACATCACTGACAACATGGCTAATAAAGTGGTACAGACATTAATGCTTAGATTTACATTATCACACTGAATGCAGTGTTAAAATATTTCCGAATTAAGGTAGAAAATCAAGACAACCTTAAATAGGTAACTTATCACTGATTCGTGATTGCTTAAATTAAGTAATCACAAAAGTGGAATCCTTGTTCGAAAGGACCAAAATGTGTACCTCAAAATATATCATTTGGAATGTATAATATTAACAGCGTACTTCTCTGAGGTACGTAAAGGTACAACATATGCGAAAGGTCCGAAAAGTTTTTAAAGCGTCCAAAATTGCCAAAAAACACAATCACGTACAATAATCACGTACAAGATGTCTAAGACTCTAAGCGTCCATCTAGACACGGAACACACTCCTCAAGAATCCACACACACGTGACAGGAAGACTCGGACTGGGTCGGGGTGTCGTCATCGTCGAGGTTGATATCGACGAAGTGAGGGGTATGACAGAGGACGGGGTCAGAGAAGAGGGCAGGGTCGGTGGAAGAGGTGGGAAGGAAGGGCAAATCTGACAGGGGTTAAAAGATTGGTTTATGGAAAACAACTTGCTACTTTTGACATTAAAGATCGTATCGTATGAATCACAAGACCATGTAACTAAACTTCTATACCAACAAACTCGCAGACTGTACTAAGACTCGTTCATAAACAGATCGGTATACAGCGCGCTAGCGAGATCACATTCACCATGAATTTGGAGCGCTGAAGAGCTCGGTTCCAAATTAAAATAGGAGATATCTATCTACTCTACAGTGGAACTACATCAAATTTCAAACCACAATATGCTTATCTCCGAATTGGAACACGGCAACAACAAAACATCGAACCTTTTCATCATAAGAACACTGGGCCTTCAAATAAGAGCCCGCTGGTGAAAAGTGATGGTGAAGTGAACTGGGTAAAATTACCGAAACGTTTTGCAGCGACGGGCACCTTCGGAAGAAAGTGTAAACATGATGCTTGGGTATGTGGTGGGTCCAATATGTCGTTCCTTCCTAAGGCAAACAAAATAAAAAGGGGGAAAGTGTTCCAAAGAACTGAACTTGTGCCTTTTGCTAATCGTAATATATTTGTAATTTTTAGATTTTGTGTTTCCAAGGCAATGACTTCTTTCAAATGTCGGAAGGGTTCGTTCAAAATATGTTTTTTTCATAAATCAATGTATATCCACTAGGCAGCTGGTGAACGGGTGCCTTTTGCTATTAAGGAATTCAAATGCTTCGGCTTTTTTAACTTCCCTATCTAACCTGAGGTTAGAGTTTAGTCCAGAGCCAAACTTATAAATCTTTCAGTATTTCTTTAGAGAAACGTATGCTCAATTATGTCATACCGTCGCATTGTAAGAGCTGGCTCCGGGCGGAAGATTCAACGTGAGTAGATGTTGTTTCAAAAGTATAGTTCCCAAACGTTTCTGTACTGTTTATAGTGGGGTGGCGAAAGGTACAAAGGAAACACCCGATGGCAGTTTTAGTACGATGTGGCATCCATGCTAGAAATGATGCTAAGGCGTCACTGAACACTCTCAGAGTGGATGCCAAACAAACATCTGAGTGAGTGAGTGAGTTCGTATGGTTTTACGCCGCTTTTAGCAATATTCCAGCAATATCACGGCGGGGGACACCAGAAATGGGCTTCACACATTGTACCCATGTCGGGAATCGAACCCGGGTCTTCGGCGTGACGAGCGAACGCTTTAACCACTAGGCTACCCGACCGCCCCAACAAACATCTGATCTAGTGTGGACACACCAGGCGCCGACAGTGTATCATTGCACGATCTGCACCACTGTGCACAGATGCCACCCTTGTCCTGATTCCAGGGGAAAATAGATCACCAGTTTACCATGTATGTCTATTTATTTGTTTGTTGTTTAACGCCGCACTCAGCAATATGACGGCGGTCTGTAAATAATCGAGTCTGGACCAGACAATCCAGTGATTGACATATATGTTCTGTGGCCCTATGCAAATTCAATGATGGCATATTTAAGACAGTTTCGAAAATGTATCTGTGAACATAAGTTGTTAAGATTAATATTAGCTGAGATCGTTTCGAAAAAATAGACCCTCATGTGGCGAAATACTATTGACCAATACCGAGTCATGAATTGGCAGACCTTTTTAAAGAAATTAAAAAGAGGAATTACAGACATGACATGACTTTATTGCATTTAATACATAACAAATGTTTACCATATTCTGTAACATGATAGATATTGTACACTGTACACAACAGACAATGGATGTACATAGCAGATAATACCCGTACAGAACAAACAATCGACGTACACTATACACAACAATGTGTACACTCACGTGTTTATACTGTACACAACAGACAATCGATGTGTACACAACG